CTATATCCTGAAAAATAAATAGCTTAGCTATCAGTGCAGGTGATTATATAAGATGGAAAAATATTGTTTCTTTCACCACTAAATTACCAGGATTACACAGTATGTACAAGTATTTCCACACTACTCAAATTTACTGCAAGTATAATTAATTTCTCTTAACATCAAAGGAACAGAAAACAGCTGTTTTACAGTAAGCCATGTCATCGCACGTCCATCCATCCATTCACTTCCACGTATCCTTTTCAGGGTCGCCAGCGCCCCGCTATCCCAGCTGTCTTAGGGCGAGAGGCGGGGTTCACCCTGAACAGGTCGCCAGTCTGTCGCAGGGCTAACACATAGACAGAGACAACCATTCTAATCTAACCAAGCTAATTTAGTCTGGTGCATTTTAACGTTCTGCTATTAGGCCTCCGCGGCCAGTGTGATTATACTGTTACAGCTTTATAAACACAAATAAGCTTAAAAAGTTATTTGAACCTTCACAGTTATCAAGATAATTGCATTTTGTACAGTTATTATGACGGACCTGGTTTGATCTCTGTTGTGCTTTAGCGCTAAACAGATTGAAAACACTGTGAGGCTGTAAGTAGGTTAAGAGGAATTTCAATTTTAATTCTGGTGGAAGGCCTGTGCGGCGGATTGTGAGCAAGACGACGAGATGGAGGATGATGGAAGTGAAGCGAGAGGAAAAGGAAGGTCGCCCTGAAGGTAACAGGAAGGACAGAGGGTGCTCGACAAGTGCTACAAAACTGACAGTGGAGCTTTTTTATGTCACTGGAATCATAAATATTAAAATAAAAATGAGGAAAATAGTCTTAAGCTTTATACTCCAAGCAGACTGCAGGATGTTGGGAAATGAGTTTAAATATGAGATTTCAAACAATAAACAATGACCTTTGTAGATAGTTGTGTGCGGTTGTCGGCTCAATTAATTGCCAAAAAATATTTAAAAACCAGAAGATATGTGAGAAATATGGCTCAAGAAGTGATGGTGGCTCACAGACACTGATTAGTTCTGTGCTTCACCCCTGACCGCTACACCGCTGAAAAATGCTAAAAAATCAAAATAATTGTCTTGCTCAATCACACACACACACACACACACACACACACAGAATGTTTTCTTTGACCTTTGTCAACAATTGGAAAGGCAATCACACAACATCCTATCTGCAGACAATCAATTAAAGCGGCTCACGGTGAATTCACTCTTCAAGGCGGTGATTGCACGTTAAAACGAGGCAGCGTCTGCTGCACGCTCAAAAATCCCCAAAATCACGCATTCACTCGGGCTGAGTGAGAGCGAGCATGTATGGGAGAGCGGGAGGCTGTGTGTGTCTGCACAGTCAGGCACCAGATAAGGAGAGCAACAGAGCAGAGGGCATCAAACCTCGGCTCACCTCGCAAACTATTGCTGGACATCACTCTCCCAGCTAATTATTTTCTTTCACAGTTCATTTTAGCCTGGATTAAAAGCACGACATTTAATTCATTATTATTATTATCATCATTATTATTCCACTGGCGTAGTTTGCCAGGTTTTTCTGCTTTCTGTTTCCTTGGCGCTCATTAAATAAAATGCTATTAACAGCTGTAAAGAAAAAGGGAAAAAAACTACAGCTGATATCAGCAGCCTGAAAAACGTGCCAAACTCTGCTAAAACCAGTTTGTTGCTCTTCAGCGGGCTAAATTGCTACCATCTGATTTAATCCCACACTTGCAGGAAAAACATGTACTGCGAACACATGCTGGCTTGCATAATCAGAAGAGGAAGTTGTGCTTCAGTAAACATGCACAGCTTCCATTACTCTTGTGTTTATGGTTTTTTGCTGATAAATGTGATATGTGTTTATTTGCTGGTGGAGGAGGCGGTGGGGAGGTGTCCCTTGCTGAACAGACCCTGAGAAGATAACCACCACAAACCATAACCCCCATAAAGTCCTCTGTGGAAAATCCAGCTCATGGGGGTGAAAGGTGAGAGGTCAGGGTTGTAGTCCCCCCCCCCCC